ATTCTGTGTTTTTCTGTCAATATGGGGTGCTGTGTGTACATTAATGAGGAAAAAAATGAACTTAAATGATTTTAGCATATGGCTGCAATATAACAAAGAGTGAAAAATTTAAGGGGGTCTGAATACTTTCCGTACCCACTGTAATTTAAGGACATTTACATAGTCAGGGAGATCTATTGTAAAATAAAAATTAAATACATTGTCAGGTCAGTTTTATCTCACAAACTCACAAATTTGCCTCATGGTTTTTAGAGAAAACTAATTTACTGCTGCAAAAAAACAAACAAGCAAAACAAAAAGATAAATTATTTATTTTCTAGGAATTAATTTATTTTACTCTCCCATTTATTTTCTATTGTATTTTTAACCTCTTCACTTAAATTTTCCTAATATGCATTTTAATCAACAGGCTGTTCTCTCAGTAGACATGTTGACTTGGTGATACAGCTGTAACAGTGCCTCAGTGCTGTGCAGGTTGGCTTTACATCTAAATGGAATAAATGTATAAAGTAGTACTGTAATATACTGTATAGTAGATCTGATGGTCACACACACAATGATCTCGCTGCTTAATTACAGAAGTCGCCAAATTTTAAAAACTTGTTTTAGGATGCAGCTTCTCTCACATTGGTCAAATAAATATCTATACACAGCCAGGTAGTCATAACCTTTCTAACATCATTCATTTTCTCATCTTAGATTCCTAAAGATAAAATGTCTATTAATAGTATTTGAGATGTAAAAATCGCAACCTCCACCACCAACAGTTCTCTTTAATCTACAGTGACTGTGTCAACTTTCACAATTTTGTTATTTTGATTTACAGATTTGCAGATGCTTTAAATATGAAATGCAATCAAGAGAAATAGTGTAACAAGACAAAAGAAGTATTGACTACAGTATAGTGATCACTGAACTGCCATCTTTGACAGACTACAATTAACCCACTGGCTTAAAGGAGAATCTTGAGGCCATTACAAGAGGGCTTGGCTGTAATTACCAGCGGACAGTTGTAGTTACACTGCAGGAGAGCGCTGCAGAGAGAGACATACTGTACCATTCAGCTGGAAGATCTACAGCATGTACATGTTCCTTTATACACTGCAGTGTGTGCACATTAACAGCTCTACCCTGAAGTGAAAAAACCAGAGACCCAGGAGTCAACACTGATCGCAGCAGGGTGTGTGGGGAGACTGCAGCAGTAAGGTTAAATCCCCACATGTGGGCAGGCTCCCTCTTCAGGTATCCTTGCCTGAGACTTGAATACCCATCTCACCCCACCTCAGAGTCACAGTTATTGAACTTGGTCCTTACCTTTGACCGAGTATAAGAGGGAGCAACTATCAAAGGGATTTTATATTTCTGGAAAAACAGTATGTTTAGAAATCACTGACTTTGGCCTCAAAACAGAAAGACCTGGATGTACTAAAATGTTTGTGCTGCACCAAATGAATGAAATGCTTTCCTCAAACTGTGGAACAGAGACGTTTTCTTTGATTAACTGTTAAATAGCACCTATGTGTTTCCACAATCAGGCATCTACAGCTGATGACTGCCCCTATTCCGGCTGCCTCTGGGAGAAAGGATGTGGGTGCAGCTTTTAGTCGTCTCCCTGACAGCTCCATGTGTTAATATTGCTGTCATGTCCTGCAGAGCGAGAAGACTAATTACTGACTGTCTTCCTGCCAGTGCCCCTCAGAGAGCCATACACTATTAATTGGATGACAACTGCAAAGCAAGCTGAACTATAAATGAGGCTGACCTTTACCGCTATTAGAAATCAATAGATTTTAATTTCACATTTCAATTATTGCACAATCCTTTCACAACTTTATTTACAAATAATCTCCATTTTATTTTTAGAATAGAGATCGTTTGAATAAATGTAAATGCTGTAAGAACTATTTTCAGCTCAGCTGGCCGAGCAGGACACCTCAACACTGTCTTGTTCTAGCAGATTTTACATACAGCTATTTTGGTTTTGATCATCTGAAAAATATTAACTGTATGAATTTAAATACTGTAGCTGCCCGTATGAAATACTGTATGTCAAGACACAGTCTAGCAGTTTTGTGAGACTGCTTAGGCACACAGTGGTTTGAGCTAAATAAATGCTAAATGCTAAATAAATCCGTGCTCTTCCTGACACTGTAACTATGGAAGCACATGGATTCACAGAAGATGCACAGTGGCCTGCAGAGTGACATGAGTGCCAACCAACTGCCACACTGACTGCTGTACACACAGCATTAGGCAGGCGGCCAAAATGTTATGGCTGATCAGTGTATATTTGTTGATTAGTGCCAACACAAAGTACAGCTGAGGCTGATGGGAATGTCATACTTGAAAGTATTTAGTCCTAAATCAAAATATTAGGCAAAATAAAATGCAAGATGCTGGCACTAGATACAGTAAAAGGGAGTGGATATCTAAAGTTCAGTAAATTATAAGAGCAATTTGATGGTAAATTGGCAATCCATTCAGTAAATGTCTGACACCGATATTTTATGTAAAATAGCAAATATCAGCCACATGGTGGGCTCGAGGAGAAGCCAGGGGATCGTCAACATCTTTATGATTCATCCTCTGGGAACCATCAATGTCTCTACAAAATATCACAGGCATCCCATAGTTGTTGAGGTATTTCATTCTGGACCAAGTGATGGACTGAGCGACCGATGCTGCCATCCCTAGAGCTCTGTGTGGCTGTAAATGTTTTTTATGTTTCATTCAGTCTCTTTGCTTCCTTGAAACATTTAGTGCAATGCTGTCCTAAATTCTGTTTTGCTCACTATTAACAAATGAGACAAAGTGTGTTTCTACATAATGGTGACCCGAGGGCAACCAAATGGGGTTAACTTTATGATAAACTCAATGCTGCACTGATCAATTCAGCATTTTAACTGATGTTTGGACATTTTTTAAGGATGTATTTATGGTACATTTTATTGCCTGTTCTTGAAGCAGATGGTTAGTCCGAGGTAAAATGCCTTTGTCGTAGGCAGTCGGAAATGTTCCTCCATAACATATCCCTCATCCTTTTTAGAGGCTTGTCAGCGTGGCACATCTGCAACTCATGTAAAAGGGAATGAGAGCATGAAAGTAAAGAACAAATACAGTATATCTATTCAATTCTAGTTTATTAAATAAAATTGTATTTCTGGAATCAAAATTTTAAAATCAAGCTACATTTAAAATGTGGTATTTAATTGACTTTTGATATAAGAGCCTATCAATCAAAGTCATTTTCAAATAATGGAAAGCATGGTTTACACAATCAGTGATATTTCTTTATGGCTGCATTTAATATACAGGCACACTCTGATGATGTATTATGCTGTTAAACTTCTGCAATACTGAGTAATGCAAAGCTTACTGCACCTAGTGTATATCCTGAGAATCATTACAGTAAAAAAAAAAAAAAAAATCAATAGTACCATAGGCTAAATGCTCAGTTTAGTGTGATGATTACAGTGTTATTGTTCTTTGGTAATCTCTGCAAACTTTTCAAGTTAAATATTATGATCACTGAAATGTGTTTTAGAGATGATTAAAATGAGGGCTTTTCTAAGCCTCATCAGGAAAGGCAGGAACACTGGCAAGAGCTGGGATGAGCTTCTCGTACACAATGATGCCTTTCAGGAAGACTTGCTCGTTCAGATACTCGTTGTGATCGTGCAGCAGGATTGGTGTCCGGTTCATTGGGGAAAAGCCAATAGCAGGGATACCAATCTAGATTGATCAGACATAAATATGCAACAATGCCAAATGACAGTGAAAATAGATAAATGAACATTCACTCATGCAGTACTTTCTACTCACCGCTCGGATAAAACGGCTATCTGTGGCTGCTGGAAATATCTCCTTTTCCAGAGTCATATTCCTACAGTGGATATAGTGACACAGACAAGGAGGTTTGTTCTGAACAAGAGCAGTGAATTGTGGGAGCTGTGTGAACATTTGCAGCTAAGGTGTGAAGACTCCAGTGGAGTGAATATATTAGAAGGGTTGTATAAGCAAAAGTAGTAGACAATTTGTATTCTTGAGAAGTCTGAATACTTATTATCTACTGCAAACGGTTTCTGCTGGGCAGACAGAAAAATACTCAGCAAGGGTAAACAAAGCATGCAAACACAGATAGAAGAAGTTTCTCATCTGTGCTGAACTAGTTACAACAGCAGGTGTAAATGAAGATAGTGCTAAAGTTGAAGTTAATATTGTCACAATATATGTTAATGTTAACTCCTTTTTAGTGGATTGTATCAGTATAAAATAATATTTTTAACTTCTTTATACAGCACCTGACAGTCTTGTATTTGCTTCTGAAGCTGCATTCTAATACAAAAAAGAAAAGGCAAAAACACAAGCAGTTTGTGTATTAGTGTGTCCAGTGTACTCACATTTCCTTGCAGGCTGCAGTGAATGCTCTCCACCAGGGATCATTCTCATCTGTCGATGTGATATTCTGGTTCATATGTTTCTGCAAAAGATGCCCGTTAATTTAGTATATATGACAACAGGAAGTAACCAACAGTAGTAATGCAACCAAGTGCAGAGTTTGGGTGCACTGACCTGAGCAAACTCATAAGTGATGTCTTCTCCTGCTTCCTTACACCACTGTTTGATCTGTCTTTCAAACTCCTAGCAGGATAACAAACTGGAGGTTAATTAAGAGTTACTGATGAGAGGTCTGTCCATACTGATACAGGTGCCTTTAGATCAGATGTCTGCATAACCAGGTGAGCCAGTCACATAGACAAAGTCAATCTGCAGACACACTTACACACCTGCAGATTAACCGTAGGTGGTATCCTTAGGTCAAAAGTGACGTCCATTTCTGCTGGGATAACATTGTAGGCCACGCCCCCTTGGACCATGGTCATATTAACTGTAGTGACATCACCGAGTGTGAAACACTCACTAGTATTCAGCCTAAAATTCAAACACAATAGCAATGAAACACAATTGCACTGTAATGAAATCTAAAGTTGGATCAAATCAATATGCACCAAATCTGATACTGCTGGCATCAACAACTAATCAGAAATTCACTGCTCATGTAGGGAAGCCTTTTATTTTACAGTTTTGAAAGGAAAAAAGGAAAAACAAGATCATCAAGCTTAGTGCCTTTGCCCAGCGTATTGATAAAAAAAAAATCTACCATGCCATGTACAATATTACACAGTGTACATAAACACTAAGTGATACAGTATATGGCATACACTATGTGTACTCACCTGTGCTTCTCCTGCTCTCTGAAGTCCAGGAATGAGTTTATGACTTGCCGCTATGAAGGAAAATATTGTGTGGTTTTTATTAAAACAACTTAATTAACTGTTAACATGATTTTGATATTTACCAGCTTCTCAGCGGCTGTGTTTTCCACAAACCTAGACCCATGTCCAGGGCTACCTGGGCAGTGGATTGTGATCCCTGAAAAGGAGAAGTCATTCTGCCTGTTGAATGACTATCATCCTTCAGACTAAGATGAAATCTGAAAAAGCAGGAATCTGATCAGATGTGTGGATGCCTTGCACTGAGGTGCACTTTATACTTACACCAGGGGTTCCTTTCACCATAAAACACAGTGAAGGCATCGGCAGGGTTAGCCAGACCTACAGAACACACGCAAACAAATACAGCACAGTGAGAGAGAAGTACAAAATGACAAACTGTGGGGCAAAGGACAAATTCATGATGTATGATTGGCAACTACACCACATCAGCGCTCCTAAACATTAACAAGCAGGGACTGAAAAACAGCCACATTTACCTTTGGCTTAAAAATCATTAAGGCTAATTTGATGCAGTAGGTGATATAGTGACACATGAATATTTGGTCATCAGACTTTAACCCTCGTGACTACGTACTGTCTGACTCTGTGCACATCAGGCCCTATCAAATACTGCCTCTGTATCAAACACCATTATGTGGGTAGGTTCGTTTTGGACACAGCAAACATTAGTCAAGGGACAATGAACAGCACATTTAACAAATTATGGATTTCTCACAAATGTAAATTTACTCCTGCTGTAAATAGCATTAAATTGTTTCAATGCCATTTAACCAAAGATTTAATCATCCAGTCAGTTCATAGTAAAGTCAGCAAGTTCAGAAACCTTAAAGGATAAGGTCAGACATTTTCTATATTAATAGTATTTTCAAAAGTATACAGAGATACTTGCTACTTCAGACGCAGTAAAAGGTTATGGTCGTTTGGAGCTTTGGGGTTAACGTTTTTAACAAATATGCGGGTCTTGTGTTTTGTAATGTCGAAACATCAGCCAGTGCAGCGCTGCATGAAGGTCTATGACAAGAGACAAATAAGCTAACGCAGGCTGGAAAGTGACAGACCGTGAGTAGAGGCAATTCATTGTTGGTTTCAGTCTCTGTGTGGAGATTGTAGAATATGCTATTAATATAGAGAATGAGTGCACTTATCCTTTAAGTAGTCATATTGGGATTAATTTGAACAAACATCGCAAGTGATCCAGCACAACAGAACCAATACAAACATTGCTGTTTTAAAATGGGGTTATTATGGGGCACCTTCCGACAGTGAACTGCATCCTCCCTGGTTTAATATAAGCCCGGCGCCTGTTTTGGGAATTTAAATCGACGGCGCCTCCCCAAAATAAAATGTGTATATCTCCGCAACCACACGGTGTATTTGGTTACTCTTGGTGTCAAACGAAAGGGAACACTTGTGAGATTTGTCAGGAGATGTAAATACCTTTCGATGTTTCGTTTTTGAAGAGTAAATAAAGATGGAACACGGCACAGCCAGGGCTGACGTTCTCCTCATTTGCAGGACAATAGCTTGGTCCCAGATTTCCGCATACAGACAAATGACCCCTCATTGGATTCCTCTCGACCTATAGAATGAGGCTATCGAGTTTGTGACCTTATTGACAGCATCGTGGACCAATGGCAGTCGATAAGACCGCACCATAGGGGGAGGGGGGTTTCTGGCCAGCACCAATGTAAACCTGTTTCTATCCAGCCAGAACCCCCCCTAACTTAGCTTAGCTAGCGGTGTTTTGATAGATTATAGCCGGTAAAATATGACAAAATATGAATCGTATGCCTGGCAGAGCGCCCCCTAGTGGACCTGAGATGTTGCTTTATTGCTTTTGCTGTGTTTATTGTGTGGAAAAATGACGTTTATATGACGTTGTAGCCGAGCTTTCGCTGAAAATTTTGATGTATACATTGTTGGGGGTCGGCTATCACAACTCGCGTAGCATTCCTGTATTTTCCGTTCAGCCCGAGGGTCCCCTTTGAAGGGGACCTTAGGGTTGATAGTAAGTCCAGCCGGGGATGCAGTCGCTTCTCTAGCTCCCTCCTTTCCTGCTGTCTCTCCACTCTCTAAAGACTTAAATGTCTGAACTAATTTTATATGTTTAGAATTTTCAAAGCAAATGTGACAAATGTGACGTCATAACTTCCAGCCCTACATCAGTCTGTATTAATAACCAAAAACAAAGTGACAAGTTGTCTCGATATGAGAATGAAGCACACATGTTGTTGCTATGGTTACCCACAGTTAAATCCTGTTCCTTTCTATAATAAGAGAATTTTCTGTGGGCATGGTTTAAACACAATAACTGATCCCAGGTTAAGTTACTGAGTGATCTATAGTGTTCAGGTTTTATTCATTAACTTTTGAAAAATGCTGGAAACAGTGATGTATTTATTTACCTTCATCGAGGGCAAAGCCAATGTTTAATTTTTGGAACTCTGGATGCGTCACAAATGTTTCCATTCCCTTGTGACCTCCAACTTCTTCATCTAAAAAATAAAACGACAAACAAAAGAAACAAACATGGTTTTATTTGTCAATTCATTTTCCAAAGTGGCCACATCTGACATACATGCTGAACATGTGAACAGTTCGGGCTGAAATTCGATGAATCTAATTTATGTTGGCAGTCCAAACTCCATGTAGCAATGATTGTGCTCCAAAACCCGACTGACTCAGTGCTGGGTTGTGCCTGCTGTGATGTTGTTTACGGTTGATTTCAATTCATCAACTTAAACAGCACATGCCGCTTAAGCAAACCTGAACTGAAATCTGTGTGGCAAATAAACAAAATACCACGTGTAACAACAGCATCGTAAACAATACAGACTAATAAAAACCTATTTAACATGGGTTGTTCTGGCTGAATCTAAATGGAAAAGGTTCTGTAGGATCTTCTTAAATTCTTAAAAATGGTAAAGATTAAACTAAAATTCATATTCATCTATTTCAGCTACTTGTTGATAGAGATCCAGTCTTACACTTGCTGCCGCTTCATCTTTCATCCACTAATGAAGCCTGAACGACAGATGAATTCAAGGCTGTGTTTCCTATTGACCGTATCTTAACAGGTGTTTAAAAAAAAGCTAACAGGAGAGTAAGGAAAGTGTCAAACAAGTCTACGGTTTCCTGAGGACTAACAGGAACAAACAGCAAACCGAGGAGGAGAGTGCTCAGAGTGATCTTACCAGGAACAAACATCAGGTGCACAGTGCGCATCAGTTTCCGTCCCTCTGCCTTCAGTCTTCTGACTGCCTGGATGTACCTACAGAGAACAAAAGTAGATACAGCAGAGTTGTAACAGAAACAGAGTCTGACCTGACAGTATGCATGCTGGGTGAGAGAGTGTTAAAACAGGAGTTTCTCATAGGACAAAATTAAAGTGAAGGTCACTGCAACACTAGAGCAAAACTCCTATTTACTAAAACAAGTTATCAATGCAGTTTATACCCACTGTATAGTTACACATTTCATGTCCTGTGTTCCCCGGGCATAAATGTTGCCCTCTGCATCTTTGAAAGCACTGAAAGCATCGTATTTCCATTGTTCCTGGAGAAGAGATTGATATCAAATCTATTTTTTTCCATGTCTATTACAGGTAATAACAGGATTTTAACGCCATAAACTGTGACAGGTGCCATACCTGGAAAACAGGTACAACATCTGTGTGGGAATTCAGTAATATAGATTTCAAGGCCGGGTTCGTCCCTTCCCATGTCATGATTGACACAACTCTGCCTGGACACACCTGAAGGGAGGAAAAGACAGATAGGCACACATTAGCATATTTTTGTTTCGTTTTGGAGAACACTAACATTTTCTGTACTTCTTGTACTTCTAATTATTTTTTGGTCTTGGTTAAAGACACTGAAGTAGGACTGATTTTATGATGTTTAGGTGAGTTTCCTGATGAAGGTCTGTGGACTGAAACGTCGATCATAAAATTAGTAAAAGTGATGAGGTGTGTGTGATATGTAACTGATTTTATGATGTTTAGGTGAGTTTGGTGAGAGCTCCATATCCATACTATGAGCTCATTGTCTGTTATTCTCTGATTGGAGATTTTCTCCTGGGCCAGATTTTTTGGTCTATACATAGACAGTACTTTATGTGGTGCTGTTTGATGTATTTTTCCTGATGAAGGTCTGTGGACTGAAACGTCGATCATAAAATTAGTAAAAGTGATGAGGTGTGTGTGATATGTATTGTTTTTGTCTGTTTGTACTGTACTAAATGCAAGCATTTACCATCAGTGACACACACCTCAATCATTTTCATGGGTAGCCCAAGTTCCTTTGCTATTCTGTCCAAGAAATGAAGAGCAGCATCTACAAATTAAAGCACAAACAGCAGACCAACCTGTTTTAATGTTGATTTAGAAAAATTTCTCTGAATACTGGGTAACCTCTGCTGTGTTTATCTGTGTGTGGTGATACTGCTGAACTTTGGTAAAGTTACCAAACCAAATAGTTTTTTTTTTTTAAACAAGAATCGTCTCTATTCATTTTTCATTTTCTTATTCCAGTCATTACATTAAGGAAACCAGGTGAACGGAGCAGGAGATGTAGTCCCTACATCATTCCCATGGGTCTACTACTAGATCTCCAAGTTGTTTGTGCCTGGCACATCTCTAAACAAAAGAGGGATCCTGAAAGTGAATCTGCACCAACAGAAATGGCTGAGGCCCTGTGTAGTACAGTACCTCAGCATAAAGAGTGAGGTCAGCCCTCCTACAGACAAAACAATCTCCGCTGCCATGCAATGCAATCCCATTCTTTTGATAAGAACTGCAGATTTTGGCCTACAGCTTTTAATCACAAATGAGGGTTGTAAACAAGTAGATCTGACAGATGAAGTGAGAGCCTTGCTCAGCAGCTTAGCTTTCTTTTCAAAACCACAAGCTTCACACATAACTGGAAGCATTTCAAGTCTGACACAGATAAGAATTGGACTTTGATAAACTGCAGCTAATAAATGATAGCACATAAACTGAAACAGTTCATGCAAACCAGTTTCATGTTTATTTTTATTTTTTTGCAGTAAGGTTAGTTTTAAAAGCATGTACATATTTTGTACTATGGTGTACAAAGTGATATTATCTGAAAGATAATATTTTAAGTAAAATAACAGAATAATATGAAAATACTTGGTGTTGTGTAAAGAGGATGAGGCCAGTGGCGACTGCATAGTATGCACAAGAACTGCCAAGGGAGGGGTAAATATTAATTAAAGAGTAACTTTTCTCATTATAACAAGATACTTTGCTGGTTTTACGACATACAGTACCTTTAGGTTAAAACATATTGTTCACGTTATAACAGCATACTGCAGGCTCTTTTGCCATTATAACAACATACTGTATTTTCTCACAACATGAGCCCTGCACAGCTTGGAGTGCACTGTGCACACTGATCTTAGTCCATTCAGTTCAGTAGCCTCTCTCTCATCAACACCCTCCCATACCAACTTTACCACCTACACTGCTCTTGGAGGTGCGCAACAGCCGCTCCTTCAGTATGCTATATGTGGATCGCACAACGACCGCCAGACGTAGTGGCGTAAAACGTGAGCTAAGTCATAACGTACGCACGATGCGTACCGTTAGGGCTGCAGGCTCAACTGGACGAGGCCTTGACATATTTCTTTGTATTTTCCCTCATCATGGTGACTATTCCAACCTCTGGTTTGATTCTAGCCCATGAAAACTTCATTAAGATCACAAAGAAAATGCCAAAAATCCAACTTTGACATTTCCAAAGGGCACTGCTTGAGTCCAGTTTACTGCAGTAAAGTTATCTTACCATAATCAGGCTCTGGGTGGACGGTTTTGAGACAGAGGTAGTCTCTAAACAGACTCACAGACGGGTCCTCTCCCTCCGGAGAGGTCTGTCCGCCTCCAACACCTGGACCGTCTTTGTCAGGTAGCATGGTGTGGGTTGTTTACCCCTCTGTGGACACAGGGATTACGCCATTATAAACAAGCATAACAGCCATCACACCAGGATGAGAGAGGTCTCATCAGCGCGTCTCGTAGCTGGCAGAGAACCAAAGACCAAATGACGTACTGTGACGACCGCTAGCTACAGTACTGTACCTATAGCTCCGGGGCGAGGCGTCGAACTGTGCTATGTGCGTGTGAATCCATACATTGCCACTAGCAAATCTCCACAAGGTAGCACAATTCGACAGAACAGCGGTAGTAAAGATTGGTTTTACAACAACGAACAATTACATATTTATTTAATCACCATTTGCGTGTTTTTAAGCAATACCCATATAGATACTGTTCGATACTCACCCCGAGCAGCCAGCTTCTTTAGACAGGTTGGCAGCCTCACTGTGGTAACCTCACATGTATATACACCATGTATGTGTGCGCGTGCTGGCTGCGTGACCGGGCCTGTTCCGGCCCCTTCAAAATAAAAGTCCTGTCGCTTGAATGAAATCGTATTTTTTATTTACGATAACCAAGCTTCAAATAAATGTTTTGACAGTTTCGTTTCAATAACATAAATATATTTTGCTTCAATAAAAATATGCAAGAGCTTGGGCTCACTGTATGTGTGTTCTAAACAAGAAAGTTGTCAAAACAATTCAGCTCAGTAACTGTAAAATTTTAACCACATTTTCAGTCAATCATCCACCAGTATGTGCAATATTCATTATCTGCATTATGCAAGTCTTATACTCTGAACTCTTGAACCCTGACTTCAGTAAGTACATCTCTTAAGTATATCTTTCTGTTGTCAGTTTACTTCAGGGGGGTACTACAGTCAAAAATGCACCTTAATTGTTTCATCAGTGTTACATTTTTGCACTTAATCTTACTTATTTAACAAATACTGTACCAGTGTTGGAGGGAATATTCAAATCCTTTACTTAATATAACAAAAGCACAATGTAAAAGGCCCCGACGGTAAAAGTACTGCATTAGTCTGGCGTTCAAAGCTTTGCTTTCGAGCAATACACACAGAGTGTATGTACATAGTGCTTCAGATTTGTAAATTCACTCCTTTCTAAATGTTAACATACAATTACCTAATAATTATTTATACACTAACATATAAGCAGCATTTTAATGTAGGCCAGCTCTCACAGGGGAGATAATTCTAACTACTTTATGGTCTGATCTAGAAAAACATTTTATAAGCTGATCGTGTTTTGCATGGAAAATCTCCTGGCTAATTCCAAACATTTGCAAAAATTAACAATTGGCCCTCATAACAGCTAGGTAATCATGCTTCAGACCTTTTACTTTGTCTATTCAGTTTTAATCACTTAATGTATTTTAACTCATTTTAACAATGTTTTATCTTTATTCTGTCTTAACTGATTTTGTTCTGGCTTTAATGCAGTTAGTTTTTCTTTGCCTACATAAAGCTCTTTCTATTGCCACTGTGTATAAAATGTGCCATATAAATAAAACGGCCTTGCCTTGTAAGAGCCAGAAGCTGAATAAAAGTGCAAACTGAAAATTACAAAATGCCTCATGACCTTGAGTTTACATTGTTTTATCAATTGAAACATACCAAAAACATTTTTCTTTTTATTTTCAACTATGCAGATAGCTTATCTTAAGTTTTTGCCCCAACCTATTGCAAATATATTACATATAACTTTATTATTATTATTATACAAATACGTGGGAGCTTTTTTTTTTCCAGGTCAATATTCTTTCTACAATTTTATTACATCATGTATCGATTCTGTTTTCTTTGTTGAGAACAGCATGTGTTTGCCTGGAAGCTGAAATGGTCACCAGATCTTGATACTAATGTCAAATGTAAAGCGAACAGAAGCTTTTTTTTAAATACATGTACCTGCAACATTTGCATATATACACTAACCTACATGTCACCTACAAAAATGGTAACAGTGAAGAAAAACACATTCCATGTTTTTACATGCAAAGGGAGACATGAAACACATGAAACAAAACTCACCACTATATAAAGCTGCTGACTTGTTTCATATTTTTGGATGACACTGGAAAATTGAAAAAAAAAAAGTACTTAATGGCAACATCTGAAATATAGTATTATTAACTGCCACTAACACGTGCCATTTTCCATGTGATAAAACCTACTGTCATGCCAATAATCTTTGCTTCATGTGATAATATGAGAAGGATGCTGATCATAGTACGTTTTAGCAAAATTGTCACCAGACTAAACCAAAGGAATAGCGGTCCTCTTTCTGTTTTTTTTCTTCATCTTTCCTTTTCCCCAACTTTCTACCTCATCTTCCTCCACTACACATCTCATTTCAGTTTGCTGAGGAAGTCGATCAATCCTTGGTGAAATTCTCTGGGTTTGTCCATGTAGCATGCGTGGCGAGCTCCTTCTAACTTGAGCACAAAGTGATGTGGCAGTTGTATGAGGTTCTTGTGGGACTGGGCACCCAGATTTGTGTCCAGGGCTCCAAACACAATCAGAGTGGGAGTCTGAAAAACAAAAGGTTTTTACAAATCCACAGACCCGTGTGACCATGCAGCTTTTTAAAAATACACACCCTCGGTCTGTCTCTTCATCTCTCCCTGCTTCTGTCCCTCTTTCTGGTTGTATTTTATCCAAATCTATATTCAGCACATTCGTTTCTTCTTTTTCCTTTCTTTTTTTACTCATCCCCTCTTTGCCCTAATTTGTCTCTTCTTCCCACACTCTTCCCCTTTTCAATTTCCCTCCTTTCCTGGACAGAAAATTAATCACTGCCTATTGTGATGATCTATAAATCATTAAAGTAATTTTTTCTAGTAAAAATGCAAAACATTTCCTCATTCCATTTTGCCATTTGTGAGAATCTGCTGCTTTCTGGCTGTCTTATGAAACAGTAAACCGAATAATCTGGGTTCTGGACTAACAGTTGGACAAAAGCAACGGGAACAGATCACCCAGGACTTTCAGCAACGTTTAGGAGCCATAAAAGCATGCACAGATTGTGCCTCATTGAGAGCCTAATTTACTGGCTGAACAAAATGAACAACTTTACTGGCTGAACAAAATGAACAACTGTCCCAGGATTCACAAAGCCACGGTGTTGCTGTCTCTTTACTGGTTTGTGGTTCCATACATCGAATTTTGTTTGTGAATATGCACCACAGAATCAATAGGTCTTATGTCTGTGTCAAATCCAGCTATAAAGCCTTCATTAATCCAGTTGATATTGCACTTGTATGGTGTATAAATCTAAATAAATTTGCAGTTAATTAAAATAAACTATTTGACACACTACAAGCCTGGGTCAGCTAATATTTTATCACTGGAGCAAAATTTAATAAAGCTAACATGTGTATCCCCCATTAGTGCACAATGCTCTGCATGCAATAATGGGTATGTAAACCGTTACATGCACAAAACACAGATATTAGAAAGACTCAGTAATGGTGCTTCAGTAGGGGCTCAGTTTATTTATGTTATGGGGCCACCTAGAGGCTTAACCTGTTTAGTGGTCTACATTTCTATTTACAGTTTTTCTGAATTGCTCAAACACTAAACCTCATTCTCAGGAGAAAAGTGTCAGCTGCCACAACTCATTTATCAAATTAATCACTTTTTGCCAAACCTTAAACAACATTCTCCAGGTTAGACAGTTTTCAGATCTGATTCAGTCTTTCTGCAAAACTCTAAACACATTCTCACTCAGTAAACACATTTTACACTGTGATGCACTTGCGATGCATAATGATAACCACAGGTGTCAGTTACAGCGCAGCTGTCACAGCTTACACACTACAACTCCTAATTGCTCACACATCTTGCTGATGATGTGAACTCGCAGTGCACAGGCAGCGCGAGCAAGCTGAAGGTTGATACCAACATGGATGGAAACAATCTGAGAAGCAGAGGAGGAGGAGTGCGTGAAAGAGGTGGTGTATGAAAAGGAAGACTGTGAGGTAAAGGAGGAAGTTGCCTGAGATGTGGATGGAGTCCTCTAGGGTGTCCCAGCACAAAGACATGATGCTGAGGCTGAATTAATCACTCACTGATGTTAATTTTATAGTGTACTGTCATGTGCTTCTCATTTACATTAGTCTTTGCAGTACTGTATTTTTGCAAGTGCTGAATCTACAGACATTCAATACTGTATTGCTTGTAGTACATACATTATACAACACCTACACTGTTACTGATTTGTGAATCAATTCTTTTCTTAGAAAACATAAAATGTTTTTACTTATAAACAGTAATTTAGTTCTGTGGAGCTACATACCCTAAACACAGTTTTCCATTTTTTGGTTGTTTTTATGTTGACTGGCTTTGTGTCTTCTTGTGTATGAAAACACTGCTTTTGAGCAGAGGTAAAACTGTTTTGAGGTGTCTGATTTTCCAAGAAGAGTCAGAGGTTTTGTGAAAGGAACTTTGAAAAATGGGCTATGTGTTTGTAGTTTTGAGAAGAGGGTGGAAGGTTTCAAGAAATGTGTTTTAGCAATCATGAAAATCTATGTTCACCCCAAAAACAAAAGGTTAACCCTAATGTCATGAGGAACACCAGTGAAATTTATTTACTAATGACAACTTTTTCCTTAAGTCTGCTGAATCTGTTTTGATACATTAAACACCACTGTCAGCATAATCCACACCTTCCTCACCTGAATATTTTGATACTGCTGTGGAGTGTAGCTTCGGGTACCAACTGGTGCTATGGGGATAAAGCCATGTAGCTGAGCGCTGTTCTTCATAAGGAAGGGGATGGAGTAATGCCCACTCATGGAAGGGCTCAAAAGCACTGCAGCTCTGACACCCAAAGACTCCATGAACCTTGAAAGCAGGTCTACTCGATTCTGGTCGGTCTTTAGAGCTTCTGAGTCAGGGGATTTTCCATAACCTCCAAGAAGAAGAAGAATTTGTTAAAGAAAAGATATGGCTATTTATAAATTAAATGAATTACAAAATGTCTGCGCTGAGATCATCACACGCAACAACCATTCACACCAGTGTGTGTACACTGTGGGATTTAATATTATATAATAACTGTGATAAATGTGTGAACCCACGTGGATCAGTAGGAACAGTAAATAATACCCAGTGAACCACTGTATTCAGATTTTTCAACTATAAACAATTTTCGTCTTTAACAAAAATGTACAGCCTGTATTTATTATTTATTATTCTGTTAAATCACCTGCAGGCTGTGAGTGCTAACAAACTCATCAGTTAATTTAACACCAGTTCTTTTTCATTTTCACTATGTTTGAACACCAATTTGTGTAACTAATATCAGTTTCTATTTGTTTGCACTTTGAACCTGTTCTATAAATCTAAGATTATGTAGTTTGTCATTTATTTATCAAACTATATATGTTAATAAGAAATGAATAATCCAGTTTTTAATGACATGACTGCAATCACTAAAATTTGAGTGAATTTTATGCAATAACTTTTTTACCTGGCAGGTCCATTGCTAAGGCCTGGTATCCATTAGTTGCCAGCAGAGCCAATGTACCAAGTTCTTCCCATGTATTGGATGTGAAGGCCTGGCCGTGCAGAAGAACCACTTGCAGCCTGCACAAAAAAGTCATTTTGTTTGTTTTCCCATGGCTTCTTATAACAGTCTTAGTAGTACATCGCTCAGGGTTTTTATAACATATATAACAAAAATGAGGAAAATGTGGCATGTTAGAGCTGTATGTTAGCAGCACCACCTGGGTTTGAATTCATGTACTTTATTAAGTGATCATCATGTTTCATGTGTTCACTCTCTTAGATTTGGAATTAAAAGTTACAAGGACAAAGCACATTATCACCCAAAATATTCTAAGCAGGTCTCTGCTTTCGTCAGCTCACCTTGGTAATATCTGTCGTCCAGCGCCGTCAACAGGTAACGCCTCTCGAAAGAACAGTGGAGGGTCCCCAGGCAGTTGTCCAGTGCGAATAGACACATTGCTGGCTTGAAGTGGAGGAGGAGGAGGGGTAGCCATCTGCCCCTTTTTTTGAGCTTCAAGAGAAGGCTCCATGTTGCCCTGGCGAATGGATGGCAGCAGCAGGTACAGCAGTAATGTGGCCAACAACACCAGGCCCAGAACAACAAGACGATTACGCAAAAAATTCATTTCGTCAAGGTGAATGATCTAGGAAAAGTGGTAGACAATGCATTGTCTAAGATCTCATCATACAGATCCTATTGATGCAGTATTCTCCTTAGTTTGACAGTAGGAATATGTAAAGGTCGACACCCTCATCCAATAAGACCACTGCAGTTGAACACATGAAACTGTCTTAACAATATCTGGTTTTGGGAAGTTAAACTGAGATTTTTAAAGCCTGTACAGTCTCATATTTTCATAGTTTTAATCATCACTGCCAATTTACTCACCAACTGCACTGCTGAGATATGAGAAACAGGAACACAAGCTTTGTGTTATGATGTTTCCATATCCGTCAGCAACTGATTAGATGGGTGCAATTTATAGCATAACACATAGGAATGATGGACAAAACATTTACATTTCCTTACTGCTAGGTAGTTCTGTATTGATTTGGTGGACAGCACCTGTGTGTGTGTGTCTAGCTTACAAAGAAATATTTGCCCGACAAACTTCACTAGACTAGACAATTAAACTTTTGGCAAATAAGATACATCCTTCAAATTGCCACACACGACCTAAGTCCCAGATTGAACGGTGTAACGTTACTATAACATTAGTTGGTTGATAATGCTAACCATGTTGGCTGGGCACGCAAGGAATGAATCCAGAAAAAACATGAGAAACATAAAGTTAATCATTTAAAATAACTTCCATTCTCCAGGATGAAGGCTGAAAATCTGTATCTGCAGAGCAAAAATGCTAAGCTGATGAATGCAATTCAAATGTTGAAAAAAAAGCTAACGTTAGATGTGCCGTTCTTGTAGGCTACTAAGCTAGCTAAATCATTGGGAAACTGAGGGACAAGATACATTAAGGATGCAGCACCAGTGGAAAACATACCGAAACTGAGGAATTATTGAACAAGTTCAATGCCGGAAGGACGAGGCTGTCTGCTTCATCGTCAGGTTTTCTGCATTGCTGGCTGTCAATAATAGGAAATATTGTTGGAAGGCTTCGAGTCGATGCAGGTGTTAGCTAGCTTTCCAAACTGAAGTGTGCCTCACGTTAGTTATGCATGTTAACATACATCATTTAATTAAAAAAAAACGACCTGCACATTCAATGTTCCATGAATGGGAAATTGTCGATCAACATAAAATTTGCACTGGATATGGACTGTCAAACGAGAAAGCTGAGAAACGCAAAAAACAGATGAATGTGTTTATTATAACATGAAATCGTACGGGGATTAAAACGAATGTTTCTCGTCGACGCACATTACGAGTTGCACATGACCAAGCTTTGAGCTCCTACGTCAATTCGTCCTGATACTGTCTGTCAACATCATCGACTTTATGTGGTCAACAAGATCATTTTAGTCTATACGGAATATCCCGGAACTTTACAACTGCAATGCCATAAAATGTGTATTTATATATGAAACACTTTGAGTAGCATGACATTATTTGCCTTTTTCTTTAATATTTAGGCCAACGTGCTGTGGTATCCACTTAGAATAGTTTCTCCTTTCTCCTTTACCTTTGTTGTAAAAGTGCCCACATCAATATATATGAAAAC